GCACCTTCGCTGCACCAGGTGGCGTCGCTGCTAGTAGTTCCAAGAGTTCCCCGCTCAGTCACTCTAAAACTGCATCCATATCTTGATCGTAGGCTGCAAGTACAAGCACATAGAGCAGCAGGGAATTGGTGTGAGTTGGAAACAAAAAGGAAATCCTGATCTTAGAGGGAAAGAAAAAGAGAAACAACAAAATCATAAAAGAAAAGCAAACAAGCTAGGGAATAACGCGGAGTAAGCATACGACTGGAAAAAGTATAGGTAAGTAACGCCGGATAGGGAGGTGGAGGAGGGAATGAAATAGTAGGTGTTGGGGTTGGAGTAGGTGACGTTTCTCCTGGAGGAAGTATGGATAGGAAAAGAGTCGAGATAAAACAAGGGAAATTTTTCGATATGCCGCTGGAAGTTCGATTTATTTGTGGGGTGCCCCACTGACGACCAACTTATCTTGTTGCGCCCCTCTGACAACGATTGAAGTCTCCAAAAGACCCCCGGAGTCCTTTGGGCCTGAAATATGTTCAATATGCCCCTACCGGTATCGGTTCCAAATTTCCAGTATGCCCCGGTAGCTCTCCTCCCAAGGCCAGGGGAACAGCCGTGAGTGCCACCAATAACCACAGGGGCACGCTGGAAAGTCGCACCCCTCACTGACAGGGGTCTGCAGAAATGTTCAGAGCCCCCAGGGGCACAACAGGGCAAGTTGGTGGTTGGAGAGGCAGCCCACAAATAAATCAAACTTTTTTTTTTCTTTTTTTTAACTGCGCTACATTCTTCTCTCAAATCTTTAATCATCTTTCAAATTCTTTCAATTCACCTTTACTACCTACCTACCACTACTCCTAAGGCTTATACAGGTGACCCGTGCGAACATAGCTTTGTTGTCTCCCTCCAGTCATCGGAGGGGATGCATGTTGCCCCCCCCCCCCAACCATGGTGGTCAAGGATGGGGTGACACCGTTGTTGGGGGTCTGACTAACACAAAGACCAAACATTTTGCCAACATCCTAGCTCTGTTGGTTAGGCATGCAAGTGGCATTCAGGAGATTACGGGTTCGAGCCCCACAACCGCCTGTGGCGCACTTAGTGTCAACCAGCGGTGATAAATTGTAACAGTTAAGGGATGCTGGACCTGGGCAAACAGTCTTAATGGGAGGGCTGAGCAGGGGGGGCGCAGCGCGGTCAAGAGCGTTGCGCCCCACCTATGCAGACGGACTGAGCGACGCGAGGCAGCAGCAACGACGTGAGGGAGGTGCAGTGCGGCGGCGCGCCGCAATATCGGGGGGGGGGACGTGAGACGGTTGAGTAGTTTGGGACGCATGGAGGACAACATGAAGGATGGTGACGAGGATGCTTAAAGGTTGTTTGTATGAAGATGTTGGTGATGGTGCCATGTGAGGAGAGGTTGGCGACGATGTCACATGAGGGTTCACGATTAGTAGCTTAGTCCCCTCCACTCTCCTTCATCCATACTGCGTGAAGTGGTAGACAAAGGGTTTTGTTGAGGGCTTGAATCTCCTGTGGTAACTCGTCGACGGGCTCGACGAGGCGTTACCACACCATCCAGTAATTTGTAGGGTTGTGGATGGTCATTGATACCTTGTTGCTGGCGTCGACTCGGTGGTCGGCAACTGGGGCTGTTACAACCGGCAGATGAAGGGACGCTTGATGTTCCCCTCCCAAAGGTGGTGGGGGTCGGCTTGAGTGATGGTAGGTGGATGAAAGGAAGGTAGAGGGAGTTTTTCGAAGGACTCTTCATTGAGAATAATGCTTCAAGGGGGAAGGACGACATCGCCATCTCAAGTGAAGTTTGCTGCGGATGATGAAGGTTTGTGCGTCGACACGATCTCAGGGTTTCTGTTTTGATTGATTTTGTATTGCCTGCTTGTCCTCTCTCTTTTGATTCCTAAGTTCGTATGTCGTAACCCTTGATGCTCATCAAATGATGATGATCTAATTCAGAATTTCTGAATTCGTCTTCTCTATTTTGATTCCTAAGTTTGCATATTGTAATCCTTGATGCTTATCCAAGGACGATGAATCTAATGCAGAGTTTTCAAACTTTCAACTGAATCTCGATTGTTCTACATCCTACCCCTGATATCAGTCGCATAAATTCGAGTGTGTTTTCCTAACTACATCTCCTGATATCGCATATCAACTATAATTCGATTGTGTTTCATAATTTCATCTCCTAACTAATTTCCCACGATTCTCATACCGTGATTTGGGAATCAGATCCGAAAATCCTTTTGGATATACAAATCTAAAAAGTCATCGCATATGTCTAATTCTTAATTTGAAAATTGTTTTGTCTCTTGATACTGATACTTATAAATCAAATTTCGAATCCTAATTTCTTGATTTTCATGACTCAACTCGATTTTTAAATTCGGATTGCATAAAGTTTTGATACTCATAAATCAGATTTCGAATTCTAATCCCTTGCTTTTCATGACTCAATTGGGTTTCTAAATTCGGATTGCAAGTTTACCTCCCCTGATGAGTTAGTTTTGGGTTGGGGCAGGCAGGTGAAGGTTCTGATAAGTTTTTGAGGTTTGGGTAGGGCTGGCAAGTTTCAGATGGTGGATCACTTTCGGTTTTCTTCTGCGAATTATGTGGTGGAGGAGGTCGGCTTGTCGCAAGAGGAAGTCGAGGGTTGTCGCTTTCACTTTTCTTCGTCTCGCGAACTATGGGTGGAGGAGGTCGGCTTGTCGCGGGATGCAGTTGAATAAGGAGGTTAGGAAGAGTATGGGTGGGGATCAGGTGTCTTTTACCTGCCTATGGAACAGGCGTGGGACTGAAGTGGAGGGGGGAAGTTTTTTTTTGGTAATATTGCGTCCCGCTAGTGAGCAGGGCTAGCTGGCGGGATTGGATTAGGGCACATTTGCAGTTGAGATGGTGGCTTAGTTGTTGTAAGTCTGTGCCGGAAGACGGTAAGGGGATGGGAGGTTAGGGTGCTGCGCCTGTTTTGCGATGGATTGAACTTCTTTTTCCTCCTCCTTCGAGCTATGTGGTGGAGGAGGTCGGCCTGTCTTAGGAAGAGGAAGAATTGAAGCTTGCTTTTCATCGCTATGGGATTTTGGTGAAGTCGTTGGACTATTATTCTTCTCTCCCGAACTATGTGGTGGAGGAGGTCGGCTCGTCGGGAGATGAAGAAGAGTAGGGGGTGAAAGGAAATAGGAGGAGGGCTGACTGTATTCATTTAAAAAAAAACAAAAAATCTAAAAAAATAGATATCAGGGTTGACCATACGCAGATGGTTGACTGGTGGTCGTAATAATGTTTTTGGACCCTGGGTCCTAGGAACTCTTCTTAGGAGGCTTCGATGCTGTTATACTCAGTGACCTATGGCTGTTCGATGCCAGAACGACGCTGGCCGGTGCTGGGGTGTTGCCCTGTGACCTGCTGACGCAGGAGCGTGAGGCCTGGTAGGGAGATCTGGGGATGCTTTGGGGTGGGCAATCCACGGGACAACTAAGGGTTGCTGCTGGGACGACGCTGGTCGGAGCTGGGGTGAGTTGTGTTGCCCTGTAACCCAGCAAGATGTGGGGCTGTGAGACCTGGAAGAGGTCGGCAGGGAGTAGGACAGTGTTGGAGTGCTTTGGAAGGGTTGGTTAGGGATTTCAAAGGTTTTTGAAACATTTGTAGGACCTAGGAGGTCTATTTCTATGTTTTCCGTATTGCTCAGACGTTTTCTTAAGAGACTGAGGTGAGTGGGAGAAGGAGAAGGCGGGATATTATGCGTCCTACTAGCAAGAGGGCTAGCTGGCAGGACAGGAATAGGGTACAGCAGCAGCGGAGATGGTGGCTCTGCTGCAGTAAGTCTTGCCGGAGTGGGGTACAGGGGATGGATTGGGGGGGTTGAGTCTTTTAGGTGAGTGGGAGAAGTAGATGGTGGGATATCAAGCATCCTACTAGTGCGGGGGCTAGCTGGTAGGATGGAAATAGGGTACAGCAGCAACGGAGATGGTGGCTCTGTTGCAGTAAGTCTTGCCAGAGAGAGGATTGACGGGGCGCTCCTGAGTCGGTTTCTGAATCTTGTCCGATTCTGAAGTTTGTCGTATTCTCCTAAGTAGCTCAATTTTTTTCTTAGCCAAAGCCGGGCAATGGCCCCGGTATCTCATATTTTCAAAATTTGATGTAATTTTCCATATGGGACGCTGGGCCCGATTCCCAGCACCAGCACGTGCTGAAAAAAAAAGAAAAGATTGTCCGCTTGATACCTGTGATCGGTATTAGCAGGGTCCTTGGCCAACATGGGTGTGCGTGTGAGTGCGAGTGGGTTGTGTATGGTGTGTGGGAGAGTGTTGGCTAGCTGTTATTTGGTCAGGGGCTACCGGCAAAATAAATCAAACTTTCAGGGGCATATCGGAAATGTTTCCAAAAAGAAAAAACACAAGTAAGGAGACGTAGTACTTTTTGTTTTGTTTTTTAATTGCAGTTTTAATTGCCAAGGGAATCAACGAGGCCGGGGGTCCTCACAGTCTACCAGAGAAGCCAAGTTTCGCTTACGGGAGCATTACCCAGTTTCCCAGTTTCGCTTACGGGAGAAGCCCGCCAGAGGATCGATCCTCTGAGAAACAAATTTCACAGACCAAACAGCCTAAAGAACCACTGCAAGTAAAGCTCAAATCAAGAACACAGGTCCGGGTTGTAATCCCATACAACCTGCTCAACTAGGCTTAGTATTCGACCTCCCATACAACCTTTGTCTCGACAGTTATTGAGACCACGAAGTAAACCGGCCGACTGTTCACGCGTAGCGCCTCCGTAGCCAACCGTCCCCAATCGCGTCGTCCTCTCCCTCTTCCCGGCTCCACATTTCTCCGTTGCTGTCTGCTTGGACAGCTTCAAGGTCCTCCTCCGTTTGCCGGTACATCGAGCCAGTTTTCCCCCCATTGGCGTGGGGAGGCGCCAAGTTGTGGGGTCTGGGCCTGAGGACTTGTTCAACTGTTTTCAGGAGCCGCTTGCGGTCACGTTCCTACAGGAATGTGGCGGTCATTGCGGTCAGATTCGTCCACTACGAATGGAGGACGCAAGGGCGACAGGTATCACTGCTGCTGTTTAAAACAAGAGAGGAAACACGTTGTTCATGGCAAGATCGACACGTGTCAGCCTGCAGCATCTGCGTTGGCCAAGAACACTGCTGCAACCTACCAGTAGTACCTGCTTTACACCGGCGTTTTTCGGAAATGACAATGACAACCGCTTTCGTTCTGTGAAGGATTGTCGTCGGGGGCTTTGGGGGGCCTTGTGGCGGTCGGGATCGCTCTCTTTGCCTTCGTCTGTATCTGACCATGGAGCATCGCCAGAAGGCGATCTGTCTGTTTCTTGGCATCTCTCTTTTCTTTGCGGGAGGTGTATTACACCTGTGCCGACAACACCCATCAAAGGTAAGGCCCGTTACTCAAACTAGCTCTATCTTGAATGTATCCGACCGCATTTGCGGCCCGACCTGGAAGTATCTGACCGCAATTTCGTCCTAAAATAAGTGGAAAAGTCATAATAGTGTGAGTATCCCTGGGTCGAGGAGAGATGCGGGCACGCTTGACGTGACAACTCCCTCTTTAATCGCAATAGCTCGTTCCAGGAAAAGAAAAAAAAACGAAACCAGGAAGGGAAAAAACAAAAACAGAAAGGCGAAGGAATTTACTTAGATACGCTACGTAAAAATGGTAATGAAACTCCAAGCTATTCGTGAAATTTGTGGAAATTTGTGGAAATTTGTGGAAATTTGCGGAAATTTGTGGAAATTTGAAAAAGAATTAAAACATTGTCGAGAATCTGGAGATCAAGAAATGAAATGACAAAGATCGTGGCGGGAATCCTTTCGAGACACTCTCCTTGCGCACGTGGTGCATACGAACATTCACAAGCCGTGCCGCCCTTTCTCTCTCCGTCGCTCCCCTCTTGCCTCTGTGACTCTCTTTGGGTTTCTTTTTCCGCATCTGCTCCTATGGAACGTCCTCTCTCTCTCTCTCTCTCTCTCTCTCTCTCTCTCTCTCTCTCTCTCTCTCTCTCTCTCTCTCTCTCTCTCTCTCTCNCTCTCTCTCTCTCTCTCTCTCTCTCTCTCTCTCTCTCTTCGCGCGCGAGCTAGCACACACACGCTCATACACACAAACGCACATCTCCACACCACACACGCAAAGATGTCATGATGAGTTGTATGTATGTTCACATGCACACACATGAGCACACACGTGCACACAGCACGGACACATTTCACACACATGCGCACACCCTCGCGCACGCACGTCGTCGTCCGACAAGCTTTCTGTTACGGTACTGGTTTCTTTCATAAAATTATATTCAGACACACACGTGCGTGCGCGCGGGCACATGCAGAGACACTCACACGCGCACACACCTACGCGAACGCCAAACGCGCGCACACACACGTACTCAGATATTCTTTTATCGTGATGGTAATATGTTATAGCGAACATAATACACACACAAAAACAGACAGGCACACACAAACAGACAGACACACACAAACGTACAGACACACACCTACAAAGACAGGCACACACACACACACACACACACACACACACACACACACACACACACACACACACACATAAACAGACACACAGACCTCGTGATGAGATCGTGGGAATCGGACGAATGTCATATCCAATTTTTCTAGAAGATTTCTCTCAGACACGTGTTTCGTGGACACCGGTATAATTCGTCTTACTTACTGGGTTGAGTTGTGCGTCTGAGAGAATGTATTGCTCATCTCCGATCAGTGGGTGTGGGTCTTATCCAATGAGGGCAAAAGTATATTCCTAATCCACAACCCTTAGGGTCGTCAGATCCACCACAAGGCCGTCCGGTGAAACATCCTTACGGATCGGATGGTTGTCGTAGTAGTTGGTCACGACGTTCCTTTTCGAGAGATCTGTGATTTACTGATTGATGACTCGGCCTCTCGGAAAGGAGAGGGAAGCTGGGACATGCGACCACCGTCTCCGTCCTTTCATCGGTGATAAGGCCATAATTCGATCGGCAGCAGAAGCACATAAGGACGCCGATGTCTAGCAACTCAATACGGAAGCGTTTTGGCAGCTACTCCGAAGTCCCTTGAAAATTCCTCGTGACAGCGCCAGAATCCGATCGGCAGCACAAGCACACAGGGACGCAGATGTGTAGCAACTCAACTTGGAATGTTTTTGACAGTTACTCCGAAGTTTATTTGAAGATTGCCGGGTGACAGCACTCTCACAACAAAGCCTTGCTCTCAAGAATGGTGATGCTGGAGTGGCTGTGAGGTACATTGTGTCCTCCACGAGAGTAAAAGCCTCACGTAATGTGCTCTCTTTCTATTCTACTTAAAGTGTGCTGCTTCTCCCCACCCCCTGATTTGTCCTGCAGAAGGGTGGTGGGCCTCGATGCAGCTGCTTATATGCAACACGTAATCACTACCTTGATCTTTTGTCGCTGTGATAAGAGTGATAGCAAGTCCTATCGTCTTCCATCAAACATAATCCTACCGTCTTCCATCAAACACAATGCAACCTCATAAGGCTATAAGTCGTAAAACGATGTGTTAACACTCCTTTGGGCATTTAACTTTGACGTTGCTGACCGAAAATTTCGTTTAAACCGAAATCGTCAGGGCTTATATCTTGTTCAGCTAATTACTTGTGGACTGAAGAGTAATGATCATTGCCTTTTGTATGTAATGGATCTCTCTTTGCTTCATGTCCTGGTCGACAATAATATTAATAATAATTTGTTATGTTTTAACGCTGGATCTCTCTCTGGTTCGTGTCTTGGTCGAGATTTCTTGTTTTGGGTCAAGTTCGCCACCTGCTTTTGTATTTTTCTTTCGAAAGGGGAAAAAAGAATCTTACAGGCAAAAAGCGGAAAAAAAAGCCCTGTCACACTAGAACTTTGCTGGATGCATCTGACTGTAGTTTGCGCTCAAATTCACTCCGGAAAGTCCTTGTGCTTAGGCCCTTAGAGAAGGCTAGGCATGCCCAATGCAAGGCTAATGATGCCATTGTCGATGAGACTGCTCTTTTATGACGTTAGGGGCTACCCGTTTTGAAATAGGGAGTGCGCCTCTTCCGTATGTTATGCAAGGGGAAAGGGGGGGGGGGGGTCAAGATGGTTAGCCCATAAACGAAGAGTACACTTGGTGGCAAGATGGGTCGCCCGTAACTGGTCCATTTCGGGGGGGGGGGGGGGGGGGGGGGGGGGGGGGGGGGGGGAGAGGGTCAAGATGGGTAGCCCCTAACGGAGAGCACACGTAGTGGGGAAAGGTGGGTAGCCCCTAACTGGCCCACATTTTTCTTTTTCTCTTTTTTTATTTTTTTGTGGGGGGTGGTGTTAAAGATGGGTCCCTTACAAACTGGACCACTTTGCTGGGTCCTCCCTCTCATGGCAACATCATTACGATCGGTTCACATTACCCTGCTTCGATAATTCTGCCTTCTTTCACATCAGTCATCAAGGCACAGTGTGACAACACGTGCTGTAAGATGGTTGTCATTTGATCGCGTGGTGCTACGGTCCTCATGGGTGTCATCAGGACCCCTATGTCGTCCGATTACCGCTGGAACAAAATCATGGCTACTGTCTTCGAAGGGGAAAATGTTATGTCCTCTCTTCTCTCTTCCCCAAGTTGTCGTCATGATTTGGTTATGGGTTTCCATGAACGGCACGTGTTCGTCGAGGACATGAAACCCATAACCAAATCATGACCACTCAGTGGGATTGCGTAAAGGCCAGCACTAGAAGATTGGAGTGGAGGCCACCACTAGATCGTGAAACCCATAACCAAATCATGACCATTGGAATTGCGTGGAGGCCACCAGTAGTCCGTCCAACACGTGGAACAGCGTGCCACCTGAGAGGGGATCTGGTCAGAAAGCAGACCAGGTGGACCACCTTCATAGCCCGAATAGAATGCCTGGTCATTATCACTGCATCTGGACTGGAAGTTGCTCCAAATACAGCTATAATGACCGGGCGTTCTATTCGGGTGAAGACGGTAGGTTGCAGCGTGCCTCTAGCTGCTCTGGCCTAGAGGCAGGGCTATCTGGCTATTTTGCCTGTTTGGCCGTGGCCTGCCCCCACAGGCCGTGTGCTCATTTAGCCCAGTCCAGTCCTGGCCGGTACCACTGTCGGTACCAGGCCAGTCCAGTCCAGTCAGTCCGTCTGTCCCTTCTAGCTCCATCTCCATCTCGCCCGTCCTCATCCCTTCATCTTGATTCTGACAGACTGCCATCCCTGTGGGTCCGTCACACTGGTATCAGAGCGGGAACGGTCCCCGCTCCACCCATATCCCATCTCTCAAGTGTGCAAAAATGGTGTAATCCCGATAGCAAGATTTTGGCCCTTTTTCGGAGGCAGAAGACGGGAAACAACAGGAAAAGTGAGCAGGGCTGAGTGACGCGCGAAAAAGAAGAGTGTCACGTGAAAAAGAAGAGCGTCATGACGTGTGCTCGTGCAAGCGCCAAGGCCAAGGTCGCCGCACTTGCACGTGGCAAGGCCGCCTCACGAGCACGTGCCACGTGCCCATGCTGCCCTGGCCCGTCCCGCTCCCGGATTATGTTATATTAGTATCCGGTGTCGGAGCAGACACCCTTGCAAAGGTATTTGCTCAGCCACCTTTGTAAGGTTGTCTGCTTGCTTGAGATACCTTATATTAGTATCCGGTGATCGAGAGACTATAACTTTTTTTGGACCTTAGCCTGGACGCTTGTGACGTCCGAGAATAATGGCGGTAATCGGCAGTGTGACCTGCCATACGCGGTTTCTAGTGGAGCCACAGAGGGCACACGGTCGTGGGAATGCTAAAGCTAAGACCTATCCTACCTAAAATATTGACAGCCGCGCGATTCAGGGCATAGGAATACCAAAAAGAGCGGCCGCGTCATGTCTGCGACTACGACGCGAAAAGGTATGGGGTCCGAAGTCATGCGCTTCAAGCATTTGCCCTCGTCGGTTCTTGAACCCGCACTTACGTGTTGAAGGTCCAGCATCCCATTCTATGAGGCTCGACGCTCGTTTGAAAGGATGGGCGACCGACATGGTAAACGGCCGGCGCAGGCATAGACGGACGTTCCACTGAGGCGGAGCTCTTCATAAAAAAAAGTTGCTCCTACCTTACTGTGGTAGGAACTAGCCCAGTAGGATAACGTGCCAATTTATCATCTAGCAGATACCGGGATCAAACCCGACACGACACTACTTGGGCTAGCTCCTTTTGCAGCAGCCCACCGAGAGGAACAGGAAACGAGGTCAATTTTGACCGTGAGATCTTCATATCTCGCGGCCAAAATCAGCCGCGCTGAAACAACATGGCCCCTGTGCAAGGATGACATGCATAAATCGATAAATGGTCCAAATTTTTTTTCGAGTCCTTCGGGACTCGAAC